TTGAAATGTCTTCTCTGATATCCAAGGGCTTCTTTAATGGGTCCCCTTTTACCCTCCAGCCAGACAACCCATTACTCCCAACATAACTCACCTCTCCACTCCTACTAGACCAGATTCCTATTTCCTTGAAAAATCCACTTTGATTCTATCTCTAATTCCTCTTCCCATATGGCATTCTCTATCAGGCATCCCCTACCTAGCAAAAACCAAACCCTTCTCTGCCTGGTAAAGCGTGGTCTCGTGTCCTCTGTGAAAACTGGCCCTACTTTGATGCCGTCATATACCTTCCTATTACAAGGAAAGCATTTCAAACAGGCATATTCGGATAGATGTTGACATTATCGTTTCATATTTTATAACTGTTTGTTGTGTTTTTCTTATTGTGCCAACAAAACTATAAGTCCCTTAAGGAGAAAACAGTTCTAAGATTTATTCGTTTCACAACACATGGCAAAGTGTCAGTCAAAGCTAAATATAAATGGTCAAATATACTTCCTGAATTAAATTATTTCACCAGTGCCTTCTCTGGTTTATCTGATATGCAATAAATTCTTTTTATGAAATTTTAGAAGTTCAAATAACCAGAGAACATGCTAACTTCTGTCAGTTAATTTACTAACTGAAAGTCAGTAGTACTATATGAGAAATAAACTAGCTTACCAGAATTTGTGAATGTGAAGAAAATGTAACCATGGAATAAATTACACATTTGGTTTATAAGCAGTCTCTGAATAAGGTTCTTGTACTTGGTGAGCAGTAAGAAAGCAGTATATTGTTGAGAAGGGATGTATTTAGGGTGAAGTATGAAAATGAAATAATAATTGAATGGCCTTTTTTGTAAGGAAGTATTATATATGTATACATATATCAGTCAAGTAAATGAAGAGGATTATACAAATATGTAAATGCATGCATAGACACACACACACTGAGTGTGACTAAGATAACAGAAATGGCAGTTGAGAAAATAACCTTTTCATACCGCTAATGATTAGGCATTTTCAAATTCAGCACTTCTTTCTTTTTATTTTCTTGTTTCCCTCCCGCTGTTATTTCTCATATCATCTGGCTATTTAGTCTTTTATGTTTAACTTTCTTCCTTCACTCCCTGCCCTCTAACAAAACTTCACATGCTTTCTCACACTCACCCACACGTACAACTGTTTCCTATAATTTGTGTTCAAAGTATGAAACCAGCTATCTCAAAAAGGTATCTGATAGTGATGCCATTGATTCACTAGATTAGTGAGTGGTTTTCAAACTTTTGCTCATGAACCCCTAAAAGAATTTTGAAAAAAAATATAGATTCTGTGCCAGTTATCAATTTATTCTCATCTCTGCACCCACCTTTCCTGCCTGTTCTGATAAAATGGAGGTGGGACTTTTAAATGTTTTTTTCTTTGTCAGCAGAAGGCACAAGAGAAAGATTGCAAAAGAAAAAGGTTATTCCTTCCTGGTTTTAGTATGCTTGCTCACCAGGCTCCTGCAGAGCTTGTGGCTTCTCTAGCATCTGGCTCTTGCAGCACATGTAGCTTCTCTACTTCCAGGCCCCTGCAATGTGGGCGGCTTCTCCAATGCCAAGCTGCTACAGTATGAATGGTTTCTCCCACGCCCAGCTCCTTCAGTGTACACAGCTTCTCCAGAACCTCGCTCCTACTGCAGGCAGCTTCTCCAGCATCTAGACTTCATAGTGCATACTACTTCTCTGGTGACAGGCTCCTGCAGCAAAAGCAGCTTCTCCAGGGCCCAGCTCTTCTTAACAGCACAAGCAGCTTCTCTGGTGCTAGGTCTGCCTTCAGCACACAGGACTCGGCAGCACCTGGCAGCCAGCAGCTTCCCCTGGCATTACCCTCGGGTAGTTTTGTAGGGAAGTGCTCTGGTGAGACACTTCCCTGTAAATTGTTTTTCCCAGCACTCCAGGGGGTGGATTTCCAGCAAATTCCAGAAGGCAGATTTCTAGAAAGTTGCATTATCATGACACCACAGTGACTTCTCTGCAATTTAGTAAGCCACGGCCATGCCATCTTCAACAAGGTCTGGATTTCAGTCCCAGGGAAAGGAAGCGGGGAGGCAGGGGGTTGCAGGGGAAACTTCTCCTCGGGCTGTATCTCAGCCCTAGGGGTCATGATTACTTCTCATATTTACTATTTCTGTATTCTTTATCATTTCTATTTATCTCTTACCAGACAAGCTCTCATTACTGCAATCCTCTGGAATAGGCAACAATTCTTTATATTAAACCTTCCTGTTCAAATTACTGTGCGGTTTCTCTATCCAAATTGGTTGCTGACTGCTACATACTTCCTCATATGTTTTAAAGTAACAGCTAAAATTTCCTATCAAAATTTTAAATAATTGAAAAAGATGAATTTGCTTGTGTTTTATATATAGATTATATGCTCAAAAATATTTTTTCAAAACCTTAGAGCTATATATTTAGATCATTTAATGAACAGAGAAATCCACCATAAAACCTAATTTGAAAAAGCAGTCCTATCTGTCATATCTATCAACCAAATCAGACTTATTCTGCCCCCCCCCCCAAAAAAGAAGACTTCCATTTTTTTCAATAGGAATAAATATGTAAATAGGTTGATACATGTTCTCATGACAACTGTCTCACTTAAGTAGACTGGGAGAAAATGGATAGACAAACAACAGATGGAGAGATAAATAAGGAAACAGCAGGAAGACAGACTGAGCCTTGCCAAGATAAAATACTATTTCAACATTTTTTTACCAATTCAATATTTTTCAATATTTTTTTGGCCTTGCTTTCATGGGTCTCTCCTTCAGAAGTAATGCTGTTCTTTTGCTTGATGCCTTAGAGATTCTACCCTGGGACAATATCATAGTAAGATTTGGGACTGGATATAAACCTAAAAGCAACAAACAAACAGTACAAACAAACAGAGACTCATGGACATGGACAAAGACTAGTCGTTACCAGACGGTAGGAGGGGAACAGTACAAACAAACAGAGACTCATGGACATGGACAGAGACTAGTCGTTACCAGACGGTAGGAGGGGAGAGGGGAGGAGGGAGGTAGATGGGGTAAAAGGGGTCAAATATGTAGTGACGTTAAAGAATTAAAAATAAAAATTTTTAAAAAGTGAAGCTCAATTTTTAAAAAAGTAAAAATAAAAAAGATTAAGATGGGTAAAAGATATGACATTTTTCGTGAAGTGAGAGAAAGATGACTATGGTAGATAAGAAGAAAGAAGTGGCCGACCACAGACTCTCTCAGACATATCAGTTTGAGAAAAGTGTACTTACAGAACTTGAGGACCAGAAAATTGACTCCCTCAAAACTGTTCATGCCCTGTGGCCCCTGGAAAGATTTGTGGACACCCAGGGTACAAGTTCTCCAGTATGAAGACAATGGCACCCTATCAATGAACTATCATTGCCTACAATGGCAGCTAAAGCATGGATATTTTTCCCCCTAAAGTTGACAGAAAAGCAAGTAAGGAGAAGCACACAATTTTTTTAAAAGAATAACAACATAAAACCATATTCCTTAAAAACTTAGAAAATAAATGCTTTCCTTACCAGAATGCTAAATGAAATAGAGGCAATATCACATCAAATGTAAAACTCCCTGACTCCACCCCCCAGTACCTATGTTTAAATAAAGGTCTTGCTTTTAATTTTTGTGACTCAAAATCTTGCATGGGTTAAATCCTTCATTTACAGTGGTTCTGTTTCTTATTTAAAACAGTTTTCTTTAGATCTATTACTTTACTGAATCACATGATAGAGAAAGAGGTGGAGAACCTTAAACAAAAAGCAAAGGGGATGTGGCCAATTTTTACCATTTGGGATATTAACAAGTTTAACATGGCTCAGCAACTATCTTAAGTGTTATATCAACTATTATGACACAAGTTAAAGGTGTTGAAATATAAGGATGTGTGTTTTCTGAGAGGAAAGGGGTGACAATTTGAAGAACTGGTTTTTTAACATGAAGAATAAATGCATAAGAAATCAGAACGGACGGATTCTCAACCAACATTATCATGCACGATAAGGTTTATAGAAGTTAAGAACGGTTTAAAACTTTAAAACCTTTTTTTCAAGGAAACTATTGTTTCCTATTATTTCTGAAAAATTTGTAAATGCTAGTGTTTTAAAAGGGAAATATTTTGGAGCGATATTAAGTATGTTTTACATGCTACACGTATTAGATTCTTGTTTGCTCATTTCCCCTAAGAAAATTGTAATTCTGTTTTAAATAAATGACATTTACTCTCAGTTAAGGTTTCTGTCTTTTTTTTCCCCCCAAAATCAGCATCCCTATGGGAAGTACAGGGCTTCTAGGATTTTCTCCAGCTAGATAAATAAAATTTCGGTAAAGATTTTCCTTTCTTAAAGAGATCCATAATCTCCGGAGTATAATGTCTGAATTAACTATTTTAGAAAAAAAGCCTATGTACTGCCTATTTTATAGTAAACTACTGAAATCTCTAAAATAAAGATTTTGGATCAATGCAAAAACTGTTAAACTCATATGTAATTTGCTACATATGTACAAGCATCTGTTATAATTCCCATGTTACTTTAAATACAGGTATTGTCCTTCATGCAGAAGTATAATCATCTTGGATATTATTCAATCTGAAGGATGCACATGAAGAACTTTCATTATGGTCCAAAAAATTAATTAAGGTCCATCAATTACTGATAAAAAATTAATAAATATATAAACATTTTTCTGTTCATCAAAACATCTTTCATAGCTCTGCTAAGCAGCGAACCAAAGTTAGCGTTGGGTATTTTAAAAATACAAAGAGTGCAAAATCAGCCAGTCTATCAAACTGGTAATTTATAATAAAAGTCAATAATCACGTTTGGGTTTGTTTTTTAGGGGGGATGGTGGGGAGGATGGGAATAGAAATAACAAAATTTGATAATGTAAAGATTCTAATATGAACAAGCAATAAATAGTTTGTTGCCATCTGTGATACGTCCATACCCATAGGTTTTTAGCATACTTACTTGAACAATGGAGTTCCACAGACGACACATTTATATATTCCAGGATCTTTGTGATGTGTATATTCTCCTTCGAAGGCACTGATAAACAATAAACAGAGGACTAAAAAACTGAATAAAGTTAGCATTATTTCTTACAGAACATATTTACTTAAAATATATTTCTCTAATAAATCTTTCAAGGGCTTTTTCTCCTATAACGAGAACAGACCAAACATATGGAAATCTGAACATTGCTAATATATTTCAAATCTATATAATAAAATGTGCATATAACTACTCCAAACCAGTATGGGTTTAAAAAAAAAAAAAAAAAAAAGGCCATGTAGTTGCGTAATGCTTAGAAAAATTTTTTCCTATTTAAAAAAAAAAAGTCTGTAGTTCAGATTCATAGAAAAAATATTACATAAGATTTCTGCTACTCTACAGTAAATGCAGAAGGATCCAAGAGTGTATACTAGAAAATGCAGAAGGATCCAAAGACTTCAAGTGGAAGGAGTCTTATTTTTTGGTTTGAAAAGGAATATTGCAGCTTTAAGGGAATATTTTTCTAAGTTAACAATCTTAAAGGCTAGGAGGTCATTCAGCTAATACGAATCAGCTGTGCTAGCCCAACAAAAAGTCTATGTGCTCTGCAGCTTGTTTTTATTATCCTTTCACTCTCTTTATGAGGTCCAATTTTTTTATAAACAGAATTTTTAAGAATGACCTAATCTCTAGTTGTTTGCATGCAGTAAATCATTTTGCTGGTCATATACACAACAGGACGGGTAGAAGTCCTCCTGGGCTGCGAGGCTGAAGTCCACTGCTAACTCATTGTGTAGTGAAGGTGGACTTTGTCCAGAGAGATTCAACACTTGGTAAATCCAGTAAATAGTATCCACTGTGACAGGAAGAGAGTGTTGCCTATTAACAAGAACCCCATGTGTGGTAAAGAGCTTTCAGTTCATGAATGAAAACAAGAAGTTACATCATTAATAAATTTGGATCAGAGGTAAGTTCCGGCCTTATGCCAAGCTCCATGGTATAAATTAGACAACAAAATGGTTGGACCTTGGCAAGTTACCTTTAAGCTGGAATCAGCTGAGAGAGACTTTATTCACTAAAAAGAGTCTTGGAAGTGAACAAACTCTTTTTTCAGGACTTAGGGCGAACTTCCAAGGACCAAAGCCATGTGAGGGCAGTTATTGAAAATTTTTGACATTCCAACCACAAATGAGCCAATAAATACTTTCTCCACATGTGCTTCAAAAAGAAATTGGAGTGGGGTAGAAAGGAACTAAATTATGCTACCTTCTTTTTGCAGCCAAAACGTCTATACTTACAATGGCCACCTTCAAAATTTCAGCATCCTGGCACAGTGCCATGTCCCTCATGGTTTTGCTTACTGTGATGTCTTCCCAAAAAATGTACCTAAATCGCTATTACTTCCACACATTTTGTAGTAAACTAAAAACAGGCCCTTAATAAAAGCCTTGTGACTGTACATAGGATAGAGTGTTCATTAAATGGGGGAAAGAATAAATAAAACTTGGTCTTAACCTAAACAATACCATTTTCAAACCTTTTCAAGGATACTAATTTGTAGACTTTAGCAAATAAGTGCAGAATTCTTTAAATTAAATGGCAAGGAAGAGAACTGGAGGCGGGGCAGGATGAAGAACACTAGCTCTTGCTTAATGACTTTTTCTTGCAGCTCACCTTACCTTTCGGTCCCTTTCTCCTGAGTGACATGGTACTGCAGGGGTGTTAGCCGCTTCCTCAGTTCCTGCTGGGAAAAGACCACCTTACAGTTCTTTTTATCCCTACATGACCCTGGAAAGAGAAAGGATATGGGAGAAGGAGGCTTTTTAGCTTGAATCCTAAATAATTGCTTTGGCTGGCCGCCATAGCACAGCTTCTGCAGTCACTTGTCTATGACCAGATCAGCTCCTAACGCACAAACTTACCTGAACTGCAGCTGATAATTTCTCTTAGTCTTAAAAATGATTAAGATTCAGGTGATTCCATTGGAGCACTGACAATGTGCTGCAGCCAAAAACTGCTAGCATGTGGCAGTAAAAACTCACTGGACAATCACGAGATGGTAGTATTAGTACATCCTTTATGTCTTCCAATACCTTGAAATTTTTTTTTTAAATGAATTTAAAAAGTATAACTCTATAAGCATTTACACTGTATGTATAAGATGATGGGCATATTACGTTAAACAATAATTCTCCATTCAATAATTTTGCAACTTAGTAGAATAGCTTTAAACCTTCATCATTCAATTTCTATTCTGGGTGATTTAAAGACCATTCTATTTAAACAAACAAACAAAAAAAAAAAACCCTAAAGATGTATTTTTCCACAACTAAAAATTTTTGTTCTCTGTGATTTTGTCAGGTACCTCACTAAGTTCTGTAGAGGTCTTAAAAACAAATATCTCTTTAAAGACTGTATCATACCCTGTTAAACAGGCAGCAAGAAATTTTTAATAGACTCCAGGAGAAAGCATTTACACTAATGCAGATTCAAGAAGTTCCAAAGAAGGGGTGAGAAAAATAGGGAGGGGGAAAGACAAAGAAAAGAGGAAAAGTGAATGTGATTTTATTTAGAGACCTACATTTACTTGTTGCAAAATATATCTAGGAACACTTCACTGATTAAGTGTATTTGAATGGTGAAATAATTTTAATGTGATTCTAATAACAATGGCAGCTTTTATTTCAACCTATACAGACTGCAGTAAAATGTTCAGACAACACCTGTTTATATATAGTATTTTATTTTACCTGCACAAATGAGTGAAAAGAAATATAACTCCAGGACAAAGCAACCCTTACTTGCGGCAATAAAATCGCTTTTCTTTACCATCCATCACAGTGGAAAAGAGGCTTGCAGATGGCCGTTACCTGCTAAAATTTCTTATCGTGTTTTGAAATTACTAAAAGAAAGCTTGCTTAGTGTCCTGAATATTAATCTCAACTTATTTTGAATATGATTTAGGAATAGAAATGGTTTCTACTTCTTTCACTTTAAGGCACCTAATGTCATAGTATGTGAGATAACCGAAATTAAACCAAGAGAAAAATTAACCAGTTACCCTACTGGTGGGATTGATGGAGGATATCAGCTTCCAGAATCAGGGCCACCAAGATAGAGTGGTTGATTTTCTAGAAGAAAATATGGAGGCAGGAAAAGAGCAAACCAGAGGCAAACAGAAAGGTGCACCTTCAAGTTGGCCTGTGAAGTAGCGCCTCTCCTGACTTTACACAAAGCTTGTTGGGTCTGCTCTGGCCTGGAAAGATCCATATGAAGAGCTGGCCTATCACTAATGGCACGTTGGTCTCTCATCTCACTGGATTCCATATTACACTAGGCTTCATCCGAATACCTACGTCTTACACTGTTAATATTTTCCAAGCGGTAGAAATGTTTTCCTGAGAAAAGTTTGTCCTATCAGAACAAGCCTCTCCACAGCTTGAATGCAGAACGCTCTTTCTTAAGTAACCCACTGACTACGAATAGGTGTTTCTGTTCAATTCACTATAGACTTCTTAAAAGTTATGTTTTTATTTATTTGTTGCATCTTTGTTGATTTTGTTCCAAAAAATCATTAATTGCAAATTTAGCACGACAGAATATCTTGGTTAAAATTATTCTTTCCAATGGCATGGGTAATTAAAATCTATACAATTAGAATTAAACAATTCTGTCCAAAATATTTTTGTTAATATATGTTCATTCATACAAAAAGACCAATTGTGTTCCCAAAGTTGAGAGAACTAAGCTACCCATCTGTATGTCATTTAGTACAAGAGAAGCAACTGCAGGTTTAAATTACATGGTATTGGATTGCAATTTCCTAACATTGGATGCTTTTCTGCTTTTTTACCTTGAGTCATTTACTAAGGAGTGTTCATAAAAAGTAGCTTAAAGCACAGATGCTTGCAAATCGTTTAGGCAAAGATGTTTCTCTCTTTTTCTTTCTCCCTCTATCAAAAATCTCTCTTTTCTGAAGAAAAAGAATAAAACTGTTGGTCAGTATTGACGAATCATGTCAAGTATTTGTATAAGGAGAAAAGGTAAAATTGAAAACATCTGATTGAAGTAAATAATACAAACATAAAAGCTTTACTGGTGAATGAAGGGTATTGAAGAGACTTTATTTCATAGATTAGAAATTACTTTTGATCTAAACATTCTTAAAAACAGATTATTTTCCACTATGAACCATCTCATTAACTGTGCTACAGAGACCTCGTTTTAATGGCAAGCTTTGAAAGAGTGCTGCTGTACTCTCTTGTTAGTCTCCGTCTTATTTGAGAGGGGGATGGAGATTTCATTCCAGCTTTCTTTGTTTGTCTTTCAAGAACCACTAAAGCAGTATTCACACAAATTTTGTAGGAATGTGCCCTATGTCATAGCCTACAAATTATTTGGTTTTGGTGCACTTAAAGGTCATCTTCCAAATTAGCAAAATTTTCCTACATCCTGGCTTTTCAACCTTAAATATAAATATTGTTTCCTAACTGTAAGTGAGGTTTGTTCTTTAAGAAATACTAGTGCTTATTTAAGTTGTCAACTTTGTACATTTTTATTCCTTGGTCATACTATGTTCTCAAAATAATTAGGCTTTTAAAGTGTACCTAATAGCAAAAGGAAGTGTATGTAGACTAGAAACAACTATTGTGATTTAATATTAAACAATTCAATGAGAAGTTGGATATTAATAAATTTCTTGCCACATAGTTTAACAATAATATACTTCCCGGACAATTGAAAGCTATACTATTAGCTATTTAACATTATAACCGAAAGTCAGCATATATAAACATAGAAAGGCTTCACTTTTGTCTCTGACTTCCCTTCTTCCTATCAGACTCACTTTTCTAAAGTCATATGGTGCCACTGTTAATTTTGAAGAAATTATTTCATTTTGAAATTCTAGAATTCTTTGGATGGTTTCCCTTTACTATCTTCACTTAGGTACTGTAATTTTCTTATTACACAGGGTAATTTAACATTACTATTATATAACATCTGTTCAATGACCTCTAAATTGGCTTAGAAGTATGTTACGGAAAGATTTTTCCCTTTATTTAAACGTTTAATAGAGTACTTTGAAGGCAGAAATGAGTGTGTGTGCATACACATGAACACAAAGTATATTTGAGGGGGCAATACTGCCACTTTGGTATCTAACCATAACACCATTCCCTACAGAGTAACTGTGGTATAGATCTTGAACCCAACCCAAGGGTATTTACTGAAATATGCCCAAAGTCCCTTTTTATATTGAGGCTTGTTCCATGTTGTTGCCTCAAAGCCAGTATTGTCTTGAAGCTGCAATGGGAAGCTCTTGCTCTAAGCAGTAATAAACTTAGAGTAAGAGTTCATGTTCTGGCTCTGCTTGCTCCCCACTCATGTGACTTCAGGCAAGTCAGTCTCTCTGGCTTTGTATTGCCACCTGCGCAGATCTGCTGTAAGGATCACATCAATTATCGCTTAGTAAACATTGTCTGAATAAATGCAACATCACGTTATCATTCTGATTACAGTAAATTCTGAAGTTAAAACTGTATTTTAAAAGGTCAGGTATTTGAGTGTGCTGAAATATTTTACTGGTAATTACTTTCTAGAATAATTCCCTGAGAAGAGTATTTTCCTCACAAGTTATCTTTTAAAATGATTAAAATAGAAATTGAAAGGAGGAGACTAAAATTTAGTGCCTACTCTGTGCCAGGCACATTTCAAGACACTATTACATAACCACGTTTAAGGCTATCAATAATTCTAAGAGGTAGATGTCATGCCCATTTTACAGATACAGAAACTGAGGCTCGGAGAGGTTATAACATAATACACTAGGGACAAATAGCAAATAGATATATGGACTCAAAGCTAGGGCTGTCTGACTACAAAGCCCATGGTCATTATATTTACTGAGGAAAAAAATATGATGTAACTTTCAAATCTTTAATTATATGACAACTTTCAGCTTAAAAACTATCACTAACAATAAGAGTGAAAAGTTATAATCTCTAAAGCACACCCAGAAGAAATAAATACACTTGTCTATTAGTTAATGTCTGTTTTCCCTGTGTTCATTCCTTCAGCACAGGGTCAGTGACAAGGTTCAAACAAGATTCTCACAAAGTCTATAAAACGTTGAAAGGCTTTTTAACTTCCTGTTAAGAAGTAAATCAGATCTGTTACCTAAATCTTAGAGCACTTTTAAGTCATAAATCTTATATTTCAGTGTGAAAAAAAATCAAAACAAAACTTAAAGATCCCATAACTTTAATTTTGCTTCCAGGATCAGAAATAAACTAAACTATTAAATATTTTCCCAAGATAATAAGAGATAATAAGACTATCTTGTTTTGCTTTGAGTTAACTGGGTTAAAACTGTAACATTCATGTTGAAATATCTTGCTACTATATTTTAAAATGGTATACTTTAATTTTCACAAATAAATTTCAATTTTCAGTTGGTTATTAATCTGTCAAATTGGAAATCTGAACAAATTTTTATTTCAGATTTAGTAGTGTTAGGAATTTCCAAAGAAGTGGTCACTTATAAAGCCATATCTAGTCTATTTTTTAGACTAGAATGTAAAAATACTCCATGAACCATCTTTTTTCATGTTTGTTTGTTTTGCATGCCAATAATTCAATAAAGGCTTTTAGGGGAAAAAATGCAAAGCACAGAGAAGAAGAGCTCCATGCTTGTAGAAGCATAACCAATTCTTCTGATTTCTTCTCTTAAAGTAGACCTATATAAGAGAAACATTCCTGAGATTTAACATGCCATCTAAGATGTCATG